TAAAATGTGTGAGGTGCAATTTGAAGAAAACCAGAAGATATTTGAAAATATATTTGAAAATTAAAAGCTCAAATCAACATGAAAATGAAAACTAAAAGAAGAATGAGGTTCAGCAAGCCAAGGACTACATCTTAGCAAAAAGTTTGAAGCAAATTGATGTTTACAACTACCTGAACAAAGTGTAGTGATTTGCTTCTGAAAATGGACAGATAGAACTATTTAGTGATTCTCAGATCTTGATTTCAGTTGTATTGGCTTCAGTGATGATCAAGGAAGCTATAACAATTGAGAGCTTGAGTGGAGATGACTTGAATCAAAAACACGATCTCACAATTTTTTGAAGAAATTTCAAGTTTTTGCAGGGGTTCTTTGGCTCTTAAAAACTTGCAAAATAAAGGGAATGAGGTCCCTATTTATAGGAGAAGGTGATGGAAAGCTGAGGGAGGGTGAATGATAAGAATTGGAGGGAATTCGTGTGCACCCTCATCATGAAGAAAGTATGACTTGCAAGCTGTCCAAAACACACTTTAAACTTGCGTTTTAGGTGTCAAACAACTTTTAGACATGTGATAAACTTGATTAGGCACGAAATTGGACTTTAATTTGGCCTCTAATTGGAATTAGAATGATTCAAAAATCTTATCATGGAAAAACTTCAGGTTCAAGCAACCATGTTCAAATCCATGGGGCATCATGCACAAGAGGCTTTTTGATCTAATTCTTTTTGCAATTGATAGACAACATCACAAAGATCACAATATGCTAAGAAAATATTCATTTTGATGTTTGAGCAAAAATTTGTGGCATGTCGAAGTTGGCATAAAAAACTGTCTTGATACTTAGAAAAAATTCTGAGTATAAGTGCCTTAAAATGACCTGTAATATCCCAATGAATTACATGGCCTTCCAAGCAGATTTAGCACTTTACAATTGAAAATAACTTATGGAGGGCATCAATAAGATTATTTCGCAAAAACAATGAGCTCCATATGATGAAAATTGAGCAAGTTATGATTCTTGAAAGTTGGAAAAAAAACCCACTTGAAATTAGGTCAAAATTTCATTAAGTCCACAAATGACTTGTAATGTCTTCAAACATTTGATGATTTTCCTCACGTAATTAGCTCTTTACTTGTAAAGAGAAGTTGGAGAGGGTTACAAGGAGATTCATATGCAAAAATTACCATTAAAAAATATTGAATAATGAAGGATTTATGGTCTTGTGAACTTGGACTTGAAAACTTGCCAAATTAGGTCAAACCACTTTGCATAACCTTGATACTTTTGATATTTTCTTGCATTTGAAAGCATGACGAGGCTCATATAAAATTAGGATGATTAAATATTAATTGAATTTTGATTGGTCATGGCCATACTTAAAGTTACTTGATGATGAAGGTATGAAAATAAACACATGAACCTTTGACCTATCTTGATGAATAAGCAACCAATCCTTGGGCATCTCTTGATCAAATGGAGATTGAATGATGTTTGAAGATGACATGACCTAAGATTATAGGTCAATACCTAATGCACAAGTACTTGAAAATCAATGTTGACCATGCTTTGAATTTGATCATATGAAACCCTAACTGAGGATACTTGCTTGATCCACTTGGTTCACACTTGTCCTTGCAACAAAAAAAAACTATGGAAAACAAAGACACATCTTATTGTATTTTTATTAGAAGTTAGTAAAACATAAAGAATGTATAAACAAAGGTAAAAGATTCACAATAGGGTGCTTGGTGATCCCTCAAAGGCAAGCCTAAATAAGAGAAGAAAAATAAAGGTTAAGAGGCAACCCAAGATTGTGATCTTGACGTGTTGCAAAGATGCAAATGAGGTAAGATCTTAGGGGCAAAAATTAGGGTATGACATGTGTACTATCGATTTTTTTATATTTTCCTTTTGACTTTGTTGATATGAAATACCACTTAAAATATAATTGATTGTAATGTAATTAACAAATCACTTTC